AAAAAAAAAAAAAAAAAAAAAAATGGCTTGGGCAGGTGATTTGGGGTTTGGAATTCTGGGTCGTTTTAAAATGTAAAGTCTTTGGAAGGACCTCTTTTGAAGTCCCATACGTTGTACTTGAAGACTATGCTTATAGAATACTTGTATATACACCTATGCACAGTTTTGGTACAATTTTAAAATTTTGGGCCAGGATTTTCAAAGATTTAGGTTTTTAACTTTCTTCAGCTGTTTGTTTTTGTTTTATTTTTTTTTTAAATCCAAGCTATAATTATTTCAGGTCTGCTTGTTTTGAGGGGAGGAATTCCATTAAACTACATTAGTAGGTCATTATTTCTTAGCAAGTTGTTGATAATTGATCAGGTATGTCAGATAATAATGAGAATAGTTTTGGTTCTATAATTCTTATTTAAGCTAATGAAATTAAAATTATTAGACTCTTGAAAATTCTCAAACTAAAATTCATTTCAATGTGTATTTAGGTAATATACACTTTGTTTCAAGACACTGGTTTATTTGAAATTTTCAAAATTCCAACTCAAGAATTCATGAACTACTTTCGTGCACTAGAAAATGGCTACAGAGATATTCCCTGTAAGTAATGTTATATATATATTTTTATTAATTTATTCCAAAACATGAGTTTATGGTTGTTTATTTTACTCCAAAAGTTACAGGTATGCGGTGGATTTGGGCAAACGTATCTTTTATACACTTTTTAAAAAGGGAGGAAGATCTGCCACTTGGGAGCACACATCAGTTATTATGATCTTGCTGTTACATCTTCATGATCCTGTAGGAGTCCAGTTTAGCTAAATCATCCTAACTTTGTTCCAGAATGAAATAAGGTTGAAACTTTACCAGCTTTGCTGCAATTGGATCACTAGTCATGCAGGTTGCACTATAACAGCTTATAGTTGTTCTATCTGAATATACCCAGTGTCTGACTTTTTATATTACAGGTATGATGATTGGGTTTGTTTTTCATAACAATGTCTCTCAGAAATTATCAAATCAGACTAATATACTATAATAAAAATGACAATTTTAAAAATTAAGTGCGTGTTGTCCCCTGTCGTTCCCCCCCGCCCCTTGCATTTAAATAGAATCTAGTAAAATTTGTACGAATAGTTCAGAAATTTTATTCAGATTGAGCCTGAACCAAAACCTATTAAAGGCAATGGAAACATTTTCACTGATTTAGTTGATTAGGCCTATAACAGTGTCATAGAGAACTGGGGCTTAAAAGGGCCTCAGGAGAACATCAAATTCATCCTTGATTTTTGCCCTGACAAGATACTTGTCTACCCTGCTTTTAAAATTCCTCCTCCTCTTTCTACCTAACTACTACCTACATTTCTTGAAGTCTGTTGTGTTGGTTATAATATTCTCCCTCCTTCTGTTTCTAAGAATCATGAGGTCTGTCATATTGTGATCACTTTTACCCATGCCATTTTACCTTCACATTCTCAACCAGTCCATTCAATGCAATCCTGCATTCCAGTGAGTTCAGTTAATTGATCAAAAGACCTCATATACCTAATCTTCCTGGCTTAGTGGCACTCTCTATGACTGCCCATGCACAGATTAGGTGCATTTTGGGTCCTAACCTTTTACAAACCTCCTGCTGGATTTCAGAAGAAATACACATAATATAATAGCTTTTTCTCCCTTTTTCCCTTTGCCTGTCTTTCCAGAACAAGCTCTCTCTCCTTTATACACTCAGGTCTCTCTTTATACAAGGGTTGAGTTGCAAAAACCTTGCAGCATGAAGTGAATACATTATTATATGTAATTAATAGGGATACATGTCAGCCTCCTTTTTTCGCTTCATGGCTGGCTTGCGGGGGGCGGTTAGGGGACGCACTAAATTAAGGTCGCTTAGACAACATTTCACAACATTCAGTAATAAAGGCAAATGGATGCACTACAATATGAGTGCGAGTAATGTAACACCACACAGAACAATGGACGATGTGAGACTGAGGCAAGTGTGTGATGGTGTCGCATACCTGTCTCACTCATCCTCCCGCAATGCTTCACTCACATCACTGTATAGCTGTGTTGTATGCTTCTCTGCATAAGATCGAATATTTCTTGCACAAAGTGAGTTTCTGGTATAGATAATGTCGTCACATTATAAGTGAATTCGCACAAAACAAAATTGCATAAAGAGAGATCAGAGTGTAGTTTCTGTCCTGCAGTTTGTTTCATCAAGCTATGAGATGCCATTTAAATTTTAGCTGTGCATTAACTTCTAGTCCATCCTGTTTTATTCCTCATACTCATTAGTATATCCATCACAGAAGTTGTCAGGTTATCCCATAATTCTCCCTCTTGTCTTTCCTATAACCTATCTCTTCCCAATAGTCCCCTTTGTGGAAGACCATTCCATGGATGAAGCAGCCACAGCCCTCATGTCTATAGCCATTTATAGTCACGTATATTCAGTCTCCTGTGTCCATCTATTTCTGGATCTTAATGCTTGACCAAGAGGATTCTTGAAAACACTGCCTTTATTCATAATTCCTTCACCACTTATCCCAGAGTACTGTAATCACTTTCTAAGGTCACCCTTGAGAGCATTAATGAGAACATATTCATTCATGGCAATGATCAGGGAGCAGAGGAAATTTGGGGATTTTTCCCTGCTGTTACAGATTGGGATGTAGGCAGTGTACCTCTCAGGATATTAGGCTAGAGTGGGAGAGGATTCTTCTTGTCCTTTCAGAAAGGTGTTTCTAACCATTAGCCCCTTTTGGCTTTTTTTTAAGTCTCGGGAGTAGACAACTGTGATCCTCACAGCCTTTGAGACCCATGACTCCTCTCCAATCCCTGTGGAACTCTCTTTTCTTATTCCAAAACTGACTAGCAGTTCTTGAGGTCTGATGGACAAAGAATTTATTGCCTTTCCTTATCTTACTAGTCTTCTCTAGCCAGCTAGCTTCCTCAGACTTCTGAACATTAGGAAACCCTTATGTTTTTGTATGCTTTAAAGGCAAGCAGTCTCTTCCTGAAGCTCATTTCTCTGTTTTCCAAGGCACTCCACCAGTAGGTATCTCTAGCCTTACTGATTTCCCTTGGCTGATGTTCTTTAGTGGAGTTATGCAGGTTGTCTAGTAAATCGAGACCAGTTGTGGATAGAACCAACAGCAGCATTGGCAACTATTTTCTTTCAACCTACCATGGGTTCTTTTTGGGGTCCCTATATCAGCATTGCCTTCCTGCACTAGTGAACACAGCTGGTGAACTGCCTTGATCTCTTATTTGACCTAGGCTTTCCATCTACTAGTAAGCCATATAGTTTTAAAGTGGGCTCCCACACCCCATCTAGGTCACAACCTGAACAAATAATGCAACCGTCTGACTTGACCACGTCAATACAGTGGCCTCGTTTTAAAAAAACAAAAACAAAAAATGGTACTGCTCATTTTCACAGAGCCTTGTGTACATTCATTCCCTAACAGCCAGTCTGAAGAATACTCTGGCTCAATCAGCCAGCAATCAAGGCTAGTTTCCAAAAAATAAAACAAAACAAAAACTAGAGAGTAAACTTATTCAGGCATCAACTGGTTCAGTAGCAAGATATGGTTCCCTTTGAATGGCAATTTATTCAGTGGCAATAGAAAGAGATTATTCTGGATAACACTTCACTAATTTCTGCTTTAATCCCTCCACTTGGATTTAAATTTGTATTCATTATGCTAAACCCTAATTGCATCTAATTTTTTTCATGATCAAAAGAGAGTATTTCTGGACACTGTGAACTCTTATACTTTATTATGTCATTTGCTTGAGAGAATGAAGTTTTTCTTGCTCTTGTAAATTACAGGTTTTATGGTAGCCTGAATATAAATAATTGTTTTGATATACTTGATTTAATATTTTGTTTTTGGGAGATGATTGTATTTTTCATTCAACCCTTAATTTAAAAAATATAAATATGGCGAATACACAATCATAGCAATTAATTGTGCTATATGAGGATCCTACTCTACAGTATTCATGTCCATTTTTTGTACTTTGTCATGCTACTATATATTTTTCTGAGATTCACAAAGAGAAATGGGAACTTAATTGTTTGTATATCTGCCAAATCTGAATAGAATTTCATGGGTGAGCAAAAGGCAGAGGTGTAGGACTGTCTTTCACTCAACCTTCTAAGTCTTGCTGAAAATACTGGTAGTCGAGATGCTAGTTTTTCCAAAAAACCCCAAATAAAATCTTTTATAGTAGGAACTATTTGGCAACCTGAATATGGGGGTCCAGTTCTCCCCAGAATACTTAATGAAGTGCAAGCTCTTCATATTTTCTTCAATATTTTGATGATTTTTAGATCATAATCGTATACATGCTACAGATGTTCTTCATGCGGTATGGTATCTCACAACACGTCCCATTCCTGGGTTTCAACAAGTTCACAGTGAACATATAAGGGAAAGTGATGTGGGTATGTACTGACTTCTCATTTTATTTTGTTTTTTTGATTGTTTTTCTATCTTTAGTACCAAACAAGAATAATTTATTATGAATGCATTGAAAAATAAGCTAAAAATAAGAATGTGGTAAGAATTGCTTTTCTTACAGAGATATTCTAATGTTAAAACTTAAAACTAAGACAGTAGCAGTACTTACCATTTACTAACAGTAGAAACTTGGTTTTTATGATAATTAATTGATGAGTAATTGCTATTATGCTTGGCTCTTTATCTAAGAATGCTGATTTCCTTGATGTTTCCTCTTCTGAATGAGACCAACATTTTGTGCTGTAGTCAGCATGTCTGCCACAACTGAAATACAATGTATCACTATTTGTTTAATTGGAAAATTAAACGTCTCAAACTAAAAATACCTCATGTTAAATAATTTAACTTAATTGGAACTCTGCTTAATGGCTCCAGCATAAAAATGAGAAAGTCCTGAGCATCTGAGAATCCTGTTTTACTGAACGTTCACATATTAATCCATCCAACAAAGCTTGCATTAGTAAGACTTAGGTTAAGCAGTTAAATAAACAAAGTATTCTTAAAGAGGAGAATGAGGGACAGTTGCACTCAGATTCTGAGTAGCCCTTATTTTTCTAAGTATGCTTGGAAAAATCCAAATAGTCCTTAGTACAGTAAAAGCTCTGTTAACTGAAACCTTACAAGCTGGCATGCTCTATTAACTGGCATGCCAGCCTGTAAGGTAAAGTGAAACCGGAAGTGCCCACCGTGGCACTTCCGGTTTCTCTGAGCACCCGTGGCCCAGGGCAAAGCAGCTTGTGCTGCCAAGCCCCACGGCCCGGGGGCATAACAGGCTGCGTGGGCCTGCCTTCCTGTCCCGCGGGGCCTGTGGGAGGAGTGGCAACACCCCAGATACAGCAGAGGTGGCGGCCTGAACAGGCAAGTGTGCCTGTTTGGGCTGCTCAGTTAACAGACATATTTTGTTATCCAGTATCCCCCATTCCCAGGGGATGCCAGATAACAGAGCTTTTACTATACCATGGGGCTAGTTTTTTAAGCCAATTCTTCATTGCTCTTTATTTAGTTAACAGTAAGTCAGCACTGCTAGATAAACCCTATGTTATCCCAGTTATGCAGGAATAAAGACAAGATGCAACACACAAGGCTTCACTGGGCCATGATTTTATTAATTCATATAGGAATTATATAGTAATAAATTGTACAGATCATACAGCATGCATTTCTTATTTACTTCCATTACTTGAGGGCTGACATCAGCCTCTCCATATATGATACTAGTACGTTGTTGGGATTTCCTCTGTCCTGCCCCATGTTCTCTATAGATAAAAAGTAAACGGAATGGTAGAAAGGTGTTGCCTCTTTTCTGACCAGATGTTAGGAGAACAATGTTTTTAGAAGTTCTGCTCCTATCCTGGATTGGACTGGGAGGCGGGGAGGGAGCAGGGAACAAGTAATATCCTAATATCCTGAGAGGTGCAAGAGAACAACTCTGGTATCAGCTGAACATGGCTTAGGTAGGAAACCAACCCTCTGCCCATCTAGGAAACAGCCGCATTTAGAGTGAAAGGGGGTGCTTTTGGAGAGATGAGTTATCTGAACAGTTGCTTTTTTTTTATTCAGCTGCCAGCTTAATCACTCACCAGCAGAGATCCTGATGTGCCCTGTTTATGAATTGCAAATTCTCTGAGAAACCCAAATTCTCTCATTAAAATACCCAGAATAATGTTCTTCCACTATTAAAGAAATCATATTCCTACTGTTCTCCCCCAACTAAAAGTGATAAAATTCATTGTTTCACTACACTGAAGTATCTCAGATTTGAAGTATTATTAACACTAGACAAATAGCATTTTATTATTAATGGCCAGACGTATAATAGTGCTAATGGTCAGAAGAGGAGCAGTAATAAGGCTTCATCTCTTTACCGTCCTGGATTACAGGGTTCAGTCTCTATGAAGACTAAGGGCCTGATTCTACTCCATCTGTTGGGTGTCTACATGGATTTAGGGACCTAAATGTAATTCTGTTCTACCCTGTTCAACTTCTGAAAATTAAATGAGTGCATCTATTTTTGTAAGTTTGCCATCTTACCCTTAAGACTGGGTCACAAAAAAAAAAAAGCAAGGTAGAGAATCCTAGTGTGTTAACAGTTTTTTTTAGGGTCTTGAGCAAAGTAGAATAGAATCATTCTGGCCATTGACCTTTGCTTCTTTGGATTGCATTCCTTTGCTGTAGCTGCCCTGTCTCTGTCTCCTTGGTTTTTCCCAAGGTTGGCACATTTTAGCCACCAGCCTAACTGTATTTGAAACTTTGAATTTTCGGCTTCACTTGATCAGCAGCACTGTGTTTGCTTGCTGATGTCAGCACAGTAGACAGCATAGTGATAAAAATACTGACAACAGCACTGATTTCATGTCACTAAGCTTAATGTTACTAGAGCTGTGAAGTTAGTAATGTCATTGGAGGCAGTTTTTAAAGATTAGGTTTGTATATCAATCTGGATGTCTAAAAGTATTTTACATAAAATATGATGTGTGCTTAAACTCAGTTTTTCATTTAATAATAAGTACATACTGGACTGTGCATTAGCCTAATAACATTGTGCAGTAGTGTGCCGTGGCAAAAACTGTGCTAAAAGCCTATTGCACAGTGTTATTAGGCTAATGCGCAGAAAGCACCACTAAATAACCGTGCGCCGATGCTACTGCACGGTAACTCTAGGTACTACACGTTTAGTTGGTACTTCATTAAGGAAATACTAAACTAAATGCACAATATCTAAAGCACATTAATGAACGTATAGACATGCCCATGATGTGTATATTCATAAATACATATTTATAATAAAATTCAGAATAATGTATTCAGAATATTTCATAAATTGCAACAGGCTCTTTTAAAAATGCCAGCTTCATGTTTTAATAAATTATTATACATAATGACTTGGCTAATTACATTTTTCTCAAGGGATACAGGGTCTGAAATTATGTAAATCTAAAGCTTTTTCCATAGCTATAGATTCTAGTTTTTGTTGACTTTTTTGGCTATTCTTTACACCATTAAATAACTGAGAATTGACGTATGCGGAAAACTCCTTGTCGGAAAAATGCATTGATTTTTAGAGATGGTTGCACAAAGAGCCCTGTAACGTTTTTCTTTTACTCTGTTATAGGGTGTAAATTTTTGTTAAAGTAAACTGCTCCTCAGAACATTTCATTTTCATTAGCACGGGTAGCTGTTTAGGATCAAATTCTGACAGCCTTATTCATATTATATAGCAATTTACTCAGCAGATGTTTCCACTGATTTTTTTCATTGAAGTAAGAGTAAAGATGTGAGAATTTTAAATATGTTGTTCTTTGTATGTGTATATGCTTACTTTTCAGCAAGTTGTGGGGTTGTTCAAGTGGTTTCTTATTACTGTGCATTTCAGTAGTAATTTGAGTAAGAGTATTAAGCATGAAAAATTTCTGGGAAGTTAGCATTGGTCACATAGATTCCCTGGGGTCTTGGTGTTGGGGAAAAGGGTGAAGAGCAAAGTTTTCCAGGATACTGGAGGACAAAGCCACACCTCATAGCACCACATGTAACTGCACAGAACTTAAAGTAGCACTAGAAAACTGGTGGGAGTTCCAGTTGGAAAGAGGTAACATTTTGTGGCAACTTCACTGTGGTTTTTGTACTAAAAGCTGCCTGAATGGCTTTATGGTTGCTTTTTGCATTGCTAATAGAGTGTATTCTGTGCTGCACATGTAATACCTACCTGTGGCCAAAGGGGTGTTCAACACCTAAATCTTATTTTCCATTTTTATGACTTATTCTCAATTGAGGGAACTGGAGGGATCTATCACATTCTTTCATGTAAATATTTCACTCAATTTTTCTATGATGATTTATAAAGACTATTATTTATTTCTCTTAACAAAATGTTTTATTACCTGTCTAGGGATAGAGATTAGATTTAGATGATAGGGATTACAAAATCACATCTTCACTATTCTTGTGCACCAAAAATTTGAAACTCAGGGATCAGACCCCAAAATCTAATGAAATTAGCCCCCAAGTGTATGGAGCTTTCTTAGCAATTAATTCTGGTGTTTTGATGCATCTTCTGATTTTTAATTTTAGTTCTACCCATCCCCCTGCCTTTTGGCTGCAGTGCAGGGACAGCTGGGAGAAGGAAATGGGTAGAAGTGGCAGTGGTGTAGGTACAGCTTCCAGCTACGCAGCACTGGCACAGTTTCTTGCTGCTCTGGCCCGGTACAGGCACAAACGAAACCTTCTGCCCCCCTACCTCTTCTCCC